TTTCAAGATAAAGTAACCTGAACGACTCGAAACATGTTTCTTATAGGTTTTCGACAATGCTCTTTCCAGTGGCATCATTTTTAAATATTGAGAAAGTTTTCTGAAGGGTTTTCCAGAGACCGGATCTCTGGAAAGCTCCTTAGAAAACTTTTTCAAAACCCATCTCTCATGCCATTAGAAAGAGGATCATGAAAAACTTATAAAAAGTGGTTCATGAAATTTTAGTTCACTCATAAAGCTAAAGTCCGCCTGCTCTAGCAAGAAATGCCCACTGTGTGTCAAATATTTTCAAACCGATTAAGCATGAAATTTCTAGTTCTGCATGGAAATAATCTACAGTAGACTATTTCATTTAAGGAAATTTTTAGTTTTCATTCGTGGCGAAGATTAAAAATACTTATAAAGCCAATTCGCAGCGAACTGAAAATATAATGTGCGAATGCATAATATAGATATATAAGTTGTTCTTGTGGATTAAGATTCTGGGTTTTTGCAATTGCTCTGATAATTCCCATAGGAGTTAGACTAATTTTCTGTGCCTATGAGATTCTTTTGATTCTTGGATTCTGAGGTTTCAGAAAAAATTATGCTTGGTTTTGCTTATCAAAAAGCAAAAAGGAGATAGAATAGCAACACAGGATAACCAGCTCATCTCAATACTAGTCTCATCAAACGTAGCTAAAAAAATTTTAACAATTTCAGTTATTTATCGCATAGATGTCACAATCCTATCACCGAGTCGATTCACTAACGATAAGGCTCAATCTAGCTACAGGACATACCTATATTCTATTGTCATCTCTAATTTCCATAGCAAATTCCATAGCATCTGAGAGCTTCGAGAGTTTCCTATAATGATGACAGAAAAAAGAATTTCAATGTAAGTATAATCTTGCAAACTTTCTGATCTCTAATGTTAAAAAACTTCTAACAATAGAACCGTTCGTATTCCGTAGAAATACAAAGTGAATTCATGAAAATTCATTTAACCTAAGTGTACATGAAGACATGTACTACACTCATGCAACACTCTAAGCTTAGGCAAGGTGAGGTAAAGCCGGAAAATTCAAATAATCTCTTCAGGTTACATAACACTCAACTTAGGTAACGTTAGGAAAATCAAGAGATATGTCGTTTTACTAATAAGAAAGAAGAAGAGAAGCGTACATGTGATAGTCGAAGATACACTTAGACCCCTGAGAAGAGTAACAACACTTAGAACTTAAAACGTTTAGATTATTGTATTTTTGGGCTGTTGGAGGATTAAGTATGTTAAATTAACTGCATGTTTTAAAGAGCCTCATCTGACTCCTCTTGCCTCTCACAAGCTCCCGAATTGTCGACTGCAATAATGCGTATAGCAGTATATTTTAAATGAAAAGACCTCTTCATATTTTGCTCAGATTTCACTGTTTCTAATATTTCCTGATTAACCTTATTGAGGAGTATTGTTACTTGAGAGCTATATATTCTATACCTAACAAATATACGTACAATTATATTATACATATATTTATTATCAAAGTGGCCATCACAAAAATTGCCTTTACTGTGAAGGGGTATAATGTCTTGGACTTTTCGATGATATTTTGAAAACTGAGTTTTACTCGAATCTGAAAGTAAACGTTTAGCTTTATTGAAAAAGTTCTGGTATGAGACATCTATTCCTTTTTAGTTTTATTCGCTTTCCTTGATTTCGTAGCCAATCTGCTTGGATTTCGAAATTGATCGAAAAGAATCCTGTACAGATTGTTTGCAGTGCTGCTGAGTAAAAGTATCTACAGGACTTTAGTTACTCGGGAAACATTTGAAGTATCGGAAAGATGTGCATTAGTTGAGTTTGCTCGAAAAGTCTAACTATAAATACGAGCAAACTCCTTGGAATAGCAGTAGAGAATAAATAAGAAAAAAATGAGTATACTTTTGTAGCAGTTTTATACTCAATTTTTACTTACAAACAAACTCATCCAGAAACTTGCAATTACCTGGGCTCATAGTTCAGATACCATACTATCCAGCGGTGACAAAAACCTTTTTCTGGTCGTTTTCGCCTACAGACAACTGCACGCTTATATTTATCAAAGTATCAAGAGTATAAGTACAAATTTGGCTCACTGTTCATTAATCGATATTCAAGTTTTGAGACTAATAACACAAATTCAAGTTTTTTTTTCTAACATAATGTAGCCATCAATGATAAAGTTAACGCTTCAACGACGACTGAAATCACCTTATTGTTTTACATGTGAAAAAAAAATAGTATCCTTTTAGTTCGTTCGCATTGTATACATTCCCAACCTGTTATTATCAATGCTCATTCACTAGTTGTTCGTGATACAATGCTTTTATCTTTTTTGATTTGAATAGGTTTAATGCATACATAAAATTATAAGACAATAAATCAAAGTCTTCTTTGGTTATTGATAGCTTCTGCATAAAATACCTCATTTCGCACATGAAGTTTGATACGTGTATAACGGATCGCTTCCGAAAATGGAACGTTGTGTCACTATAGTTTTATCATTGAACAGATAAGCATGTTGACATCATAAATTATCATGTAAATACGAGGTAGGATGGGGTTTCGAGGTTCGGATTTGCCGAGCTTGAGGCGCTTTTCGATGTGGATGGTTAGTTTACGAAATAAAAGCTAGTTAAGTTAATTAGTATTTATTATGCATAATTAAAATTTATTCGCGTCAATTACGCCTAGATAGGCAAAACTAAAAGTGTTTACTTCTATTATCAATTGTTACGAATATTTCTTTTTACGCTTAATTATTCGTATGTCTTTATATTCTTATATACCCGTAATCCAATTATCCTTTTTCTATACAGATTCATGTATAATATTCGTTTCATGCGTAAATATTCTCAAATGCAAGAGGGAATGGTCAATTCTTTGTAAATATGCGTACAGTGAGTATATTGCGAAAAATGACAAAATCGCAAATACTCAAAACGGACAGAGTTTCGTTGTACTGCATACGTATTTTCTCTGGTTTTTACGAAATACTTTTCTCGCGTCTTGTACTCGCCTTTGCGAATATCAAATCCCCTCTGTCTTGCTTTTATGTACAATTGTTCCGTATTCTGCCCTTGGGAATATCCCACAGTTCTTTAGGGCGAATTGATCTTACATCAAAAATTTTTCGCTGATAAATCTGTGCACAACTCAGTCGGCATTAGTTCTAGACGCCAAGATTTAAATGTTACAAATGGCTAGAAATTAAGACACGTCAGTAATTCAGCTTTTGTACAATAAACTGAAGTTTTCAAGACTCATTATACGCTCAAAACATCCAGAATTTTCTGTTCTTCGAAAATCCTTTATACACAATATGAATACACAGACTGTGTGTCCTGAAACTAATGCTTAGTAATAGGATATGAAATGTAAAACAGCATTGTACAAAGAAAAAATTATATTCGTGAGAAAAATAAAATGCTAATTAAAACAAAATGGTATAAGTCGATTGCAAAATAGTCGCCGTCTTGTCTTCTAAAATAAAACCCATTAAAATGTCTTGTTTTCAAACCGACTTTTTTTAGCAAGCATGGGTTTTGAGTACAAACAAACATATTGAAAAACACTTATAGTCACTTATAATAGTAACCATTTATTTAACTGATTTCTTTTTGTGTTACGGTTTTGTTATATTCAGTGCCTACTATTCTAATAAAAAGTAATATTGCTGTGCTGCAGTGCATGCAGTACGAATCAAATTTTAGTTTAATTTAAAACAACGGTTTTAAGATCAGAAAAACAGAAACGATATATAAAAAGTGTCTGAAAATCAGAATCTCTAGCATCCTTGCCTCTGAACAAGAAGAGAAAACGTTTTTTGACTATAATATATTTAGGCAGATGTAATAGTTTATTACTCTATGGTTCAGCATATATTCATCAATCGACGTTCTCTTTTTCTTCTGATTCCTCACCATTTCGTTGTTTTTCCAGTAGTTTTTGTTCTTGTTTTTTCCCACGATAATAAGTGATAACTAAAATAAATCCTAAAATACCGAAATACCATGCAAGTAACACACCAACATTTAAGCTCAAGTGTGTAAATGAACCAAATACAAAATGTTTTCCGGCGCTCATGCATTGATACAACGGTAAACCATAACCAATTCTATAAAATCTTGAACTAAGTTCAAGGGGTATAATATTGGCACCTGTCGCTAAATTTAATACAAGAAATATTAATAATACAAATTCGGCGAAATCTCCGAAACTAATTGTAACAGTTCCATTGATGGCAATAGCTGTCATAATTGCTAGCCAATTGAATAGCCAGTAACGAACAAATATACCGTGTAATGGTGCACCAGTAAACCATAGAACACATAATGAAAAAATTATTGCAAAAATAAGACCTTGAAATAGACCATAAAATAAGCGAAATAAAATAATGTCAATTATTTTAAATTTTCCAATTAGAGGTGATGTAATACCTATAGTTAGCCCTACATGAGCAACAGCAATGACCCAGAGAAAGAGATAACCAAGTGTAGTGCCAATAGTACCAGCATATGAAAATGCTGGATGTATATTCAATACAGTATATCTTAAGGGATTACTTAAAGCAGGTCCTATTAGAACAGAATTAATTGAAAGTACAATGCTACCGTTTGATGATGATAACAGCCGTTGATTGAGTTGATTTAGTAGAATAGCTGAATATCTCGCACTTATTCCCATTAAGGCATTAGTGATTGGCTGGATAATGTAAAATGGTACACTAATGCTACGACCCTCGTCATAAATAAATGTTATTGTTGGATTTAGTGGCACAGTAGATTCATACGTTGTTGTAAAGATAGAATTAATTGTCGAATTAATTAATTGCGTGGTACCTGCTTTAATATAAACAGCTGCCCATACATTACCATCGTTTACTTCATGTATCAATCTATCGGGATCATTTTGATAATATGCTGGTGACCGATAAATCCAGCCTAATGCTGGATTACCTTTAAATGCTTGCAGAAAAACAGTGCCGGCCTGCTCTTGATCAAAATCAACGAGAATTACATGTAAATGTTTTGTGAGACGTTCTGGATAACGCGACGCACCATAAAATATCAAGTAAACTAGAAAACAAACAATCCATACACTAATAGAAATAATTGCCCATCTTAATAAAAGTGTACGTCGTATAGCTGAAGTTCTAGGATCGCTTGCCCAAATATGTTGTGGTGGTAGTGGCAGAACATCTTTACCGTTGTTTACCGATTGTCTCAACATGCTTATCTGTTCAATAATAAACAAGATAAACTATAGTGACACAACGTTCCATTTTCGGAAGCGATCCGTTATACACGTATCAAACTTCATGTGCGAAATGAGGTATTTTATGCAGAAGCTATCAATAACCAAAGAATACTTTGATGTATTGTCTTATAATTTTATGTATACATTAAACCTATTCAAATCAAAAAAGATAAAAGCATTGTATCACGAACAACTAGTGAATGAGCATTGATAATAACAGGTTGGGAATGTATACAATGCGAACGAGCTAAAAGGATACTATTTTTCTTCACATGTAAAACAATAAGGTGATTTCAGTCGCCGTTGAAGCGTTAACTTTATCATTGATGGCTACATTATGTTAGAGAAAAAATTGAATGTTGAAAGACTTTGATACTACTTTTACAAACTCTTGAATTTGTATGTAAAGTTTTTTTGACCATATTTAGATAACTTTCGACTCAGTAATCGTCTGCAACGGGGTGAAACATGGACTACGAGATACTTGATCACTTGGCAGAAGTATACTGCGTAACAGCAATGCTCGATACAAGCTATAGATAGATATTCTCTTTCTCCTTTTGTTCGTAGACCAAGATAAAATATGAAAACAGAAAGTGAAAAGAAAAACATCTATTCCGAACGAAAAGAAAGGCAGAAAGCAATAAACGTTAATTTCAAAGTAAATTAAGTTTTTCTTCGATTTCTCAAAAAGTAGACGTTGCACTTTCAAACCAGGCGCCAGATTGGGAATCTACTTAAAAAAATGAATCAGAATACATATACCGTTTTCTTCCAAATCGAACGCAAGATAATCGTATGACATTTTCATTTCGTTTATTCACATAGGGGTATAAAGCACTGAATAATGATATAAGTTATCAAAAAGACTATGAGTCATCGAGCTTGCTGTTTGAAACAGACAGTAGTAAATTTTTCACAAGGAGCATCCGAGAGCCTACCTTCGAATTGCTTTTGGAACTTTTCTAAAATGTTTCCGAAGCCTAATATTAAAACCAGCCATTCTCAAAATATAATCAGAACAAGTTGAAAATTTCAGGATGCATAATGTTTAAACTCTTCTGTACCACATGGATAACAAATCTGTGGAAATATGTCAAGTAATCCTATGGCTTTTCGGAAGAGCCTAGAGGACTTCTGAAAAACAAATTATTTTTCGATTTTGTGAAATATCTTTTGCATTCGTGTCCTTATATGCCTGTCAAAACACATGTGCGGTATAAGATATTTTATGCAGAAGCTTTCAACAACCAAAGAATACTTTGATGTATTGTCTTATAATTTTATGTATGCATTAAACCTATTCAAATCAAAAAAGATAAAGCACTGTATCACGAACAACTAGTGAATGAGCATTGATAATAACAGGTGGGAATGTATACAATGCGAACTAAAGAATACTATTTTTTTCACATGTAAAACAATAAGGTGATTTCAGTCGTCGTTGAAGCGTTAACTTTATCATTGATGGCTACATTATGTTAGAGAAAAACTGAATTTCTCGTTATTAGTCTGAAAACGTGAAGTAAAACACAACAAGTCAGATTATCTTATCTCCAAATTCGAACGAAACTCAGTTTCCAAAATATCATCGAAAAATCCAACGATAGTCTGACTTCTTTTTAATGAAAAACCAATCATCTCTTCACTGTTGGTAATAATAAACAGCGCCCATAGTCACTTTTATTATCAATTAGAGTGAAACCCCAGAAAGCTAAGTTTTCGTAAAAGCTTTTGAGGTGGTTCTGAAATACCTTGACACTACTTTTACAAACTCCTGGATTTGCAGTTCTTTTAAGTAAAAACGTTCTTTTGACCATACCCTAGACAAAGAAATTTTGTGAAATCCGATAAGAACCTTATAAAAATCTTACTCAATTCTTACATAACGGTATTTTTAGTGTAACCTTGTATCTATGTAACTAAGGATTCCAACATCCATTTTAAAAAGTAGAGTAAGCGAAGGTTAAAAGTATGGTTTTCCTGGCAGCTATACGAAACACGACATAACCACTTTAGCCTTTTTTTATTTTTTATTTTTTGTGTGCACTAAGAGAAATATGATAGATGCAGTAAAGCGCAAATGATGAAAAAAGAAATGAATTCGGGTATCCGTTCAATAATAAAGATCTGATTAAGTGACAATGCTCACGTTAGAAATGCTGATATTCAGAACACAAACGGAAGATACGAAATAGTCCTGCATAGACTATATTTCGCTTTATATGTTGAGGATGTGCTGAACTAAAAGGTACGAAATAAGGTCGCGCTGCAGCTTTATGGAAGATGGTACATTTGAAATCTCCTGGGTATTAACGTTAAGCCTAAACATTCAACGCATATTGATATCTCTAAAGTTGTCTGTATCACTGAATGATTGCAAATTCTGTACAATGGTGTCATACGACTCACTGGATGCTGAAAGATGCTGTTGTCTATACACCGGCAATATAGTTCATCTTTATCTGAAATAAAATTCCCAAAAGAAAAAGTATATATTGGCTGTAGTCAACGTGAGGGGCGAACGCATGGCTCCACCTCTGACTTGTAAATAAAATTGGCCTTCTAAAGTAAAGTAATTATTCAATAACACGAATCAACAAAGCCTGATCACAGTATCTATCGTTGGATTAAATTTTAGTGGTTTATTATCAATGACCGCCATCCTACTGATCCGATTTAAGGTTTTTTCCATTGATCATTGTGTATAAATCAGTGATATCGAATGTAGTAAAACAAGCACCGTTGTTCAATATTGCATATCACCGATAGGTGAAATTTTTAAATAGAACAAGAGTCAATGAAAACTACATTTTCGGATAGAGGATAGTCGATTGCATATGTATCCACCAAAATTGGCTCGGGGTACTGTCAGTCGGGAAGCA